ATAAACTAAAATTTATACCAATGTAAAACATTTTAAACAAGTTGTTCTTTAAAAGTAGGTTCATTAATCTATCCTTTTATTTTATCATCTCTATATCCTCCTATATATCTATATCATATCCCAGCTAGCTCAGTTGGTAGAACATGAGAATCTTAATCTCAGGGTAGTGGGTTCATGCCCCACGTTGGGTGCCAGATATTGGAGAAATTATTTTGGCCACTCCACGTAGTTAAAAGGATATTTATTTAATGGCGTAACTCACAAATTAAGTGAAAGGTAGGTCGCAGGGTCTGGGGAAGGTGTATCACAGTCCAGCGGTGTTCTCCGGAGCTCTGCACAGTCTACCTTCACCGTTCAGCTTCCCAGCACCGAGAGAGGGCACAGAGAGAGCGCTGGCCCATCCAGCTCTCCTGTCTCCAGGCGCCTCCCCTGGCCCCGCCTCATAGGTGTGACAGTTGCCAGAGTCTCAATGGGGGTTGGAACTTCCAGATCCAAGCTGGAATGGCTACCCACTACAACATCCTTGGAATATTTTTTCTTCTTTTTTTTCCAGCTTATTTTGTTTGTTAATATCATGAGACTTAGTAGCACTAACAACTTAAAAATCTACTAAAAAAGTTTTTTTTCTCCAAAATTAATTGGTTTGTAGCATGAGCTGTAAGAGTGATGTTAATCAGCCTTGAGTCACCCATTACTTTCTTATGAAGAATGACAGAAAAGCAGGTTGGTCAGTTTTGAAATTCTGAAAACGACTTTTTTGAATTAAAAAAATGTTACATTAAATCAAAACACAGAATGTGGGTTTGGATTTACATGTACAAAAACCAGTTGGGGGGCACAAAAATACATAAAGTATGTTATACACAAAATTAAGGAGTTTGAAAGGTCTGTTTGTAAGCATACATGGTTGGCCTGATGACAGGGAACTGTGGGGCTGGCTGGCTGGAGCCAGGGCCAGCCAGGGCAGCACCCAGCTCCTGAGGCAGGAAACAGTGGGAAAGGGTAATTTTCCATCCCAAAGAATCAGGCCCCTGAAAGTCTGGCCTCTCGCTTTGGAGTCAGTCAGCCGAATGGCAGCTGGTATCGGCAGAGGAGGTCGAAGGCACCAGAGGATGTCGTGAAACAGGCCCCGCTCCGCAGCACCAACTCCCTGCATCATTTGCTTTTCTTGGTGCTGTAGCAAACGCCTGAGACAAAAACAAGGTGAGGACAGAAGAGGGAGAGACAGGGTGGCAGGAGCGGGAAGCAGCTGCGCACACTGCTCCCACAGTTGGGGAGCCGAGGCAGACCCAGGCTGGCGCTGGGCTCGGCTCTGTCTCCTTTTTATTCAGTCTGGGACCCACCCAGGGCCCCAGCAGCAACTACATCGTGGATTGGTCTTTCCCTCCCCAGTTCAGTCTGTCTGAAAACATCTTCGTAGATATACCCCCCCCCCCGCCCCCGAGTTGCGTTTCCATGGTGATTCTAAATCCAGTCGAGTTGATAAGATTAACCAGCACATGTAGTGGTTTTACGTGATTTTGAACTGACATGGGATGGGTAATTGAACACTTAGGTAAAGTTCAGCTTCCCTTTTCCTGTCTTCCCCACCTAAGGGTTGATATCTCTTGTGTCTGCCTTTCTACCTTTAGGGGAGTGACCTAGTTCCTAATTCCTAACACTGGCAGGCGTCTGTGAGCCCCAGCACCTTACGCTTTGGACATTGTGGCTTTGGATACTCTGCGGGTCCCAGGTCTAGGTACAGGGAGTGAGGGGTGTGAAAGGAGAGATGTGTGCCTTGGGGCAGAACGGTGGTAATGCTGTGGCTAAAGTCGGCTGTGGGTGGCTCTGAGCCCCTGGCAGGCAGAAAAAGGCAAGTTTGAGAGAGTTCTTTTATAGACAAAAATGCAGTGGTAAAGATTGCTCAGGGAATCTCGGTTTGGATTGGTGTGTTATCCAAAATTTCCCGACTTCGGTTTCTCCATTTGCCTGTGGGGTCCTGGCCTATACCTCCTGTCACTCTGCCCCCAGCAGGCAGTCTCACTTACATTAGACACTTCATAGTAATTACACATAGGCTGCCCTGACCTTGATCTCCCCAGATACACATTCTAACACTTCCCAAAGAAGATATTTTTAAAAATAATTCCAATAAGAAAAGAAAAAGGTATTTGGGAAATCCTGGAAGTGTATCCTGCTTCAGGAATACGCAAAGGTGAGGTGTGGGCCTCTGCTGAGACCCTTCCTCAACTGTGCAGTTGCTGTTGTCCACGTCCCTGGGGTGCATCTGCATCGGATGCCCGTCTGCATCGCTACACAGGAGAGGCTCAAGTCAGACGTGCTGGCAGTTCGCTCTGGCACTGATGTTACTAACTCCTCACAGGTCTAGGTGATGAGGCTGCTGCAAACTCTCCGAGGTGTGGCCACAGTCTCTGCTCCCCCCCCCCCCCACACCCGTCATCTCCCAGAAGTTCACACTGACTGCATGCCAGGCATTCGGTGTAGTTCACACCCACCCCCCCACCCACACACACACACACACACACACACACACAGTGATTTCATATATACTCTAGACTAGTGGGGAAGGAAAGGAAATAATGACTGTGTGGTGTGAGGTATAGGCAGCTGGTGACCCAGTGGTTAAGAACTGGGGACTCGTGACCCCAAACTCTTGAGTGCATCCAAGGTCAGTTGGGGTGACTGTGCATCTGTGAACGGACTGATGAGTTTTGCTCTTGCCTTTCTCCATGTGTGCAGGGTGGAGATGTCTGCCCCGAGGCTGACTTCTAACAGAACATCCCTGCAGCCAGCATCTAATGCTGATTACACCTGGGAGTATGAGTACTATGAGATTGGACCAGTGTCCTTCGAGGGACTGAAGGCTCATAAGTGTAAGTCCTGTGCTGCTCCCAGGGGTAACCGTCATGTGTTTGTGTTAACCTGTGAAATCCCCATGACTGCTTTTTCCTGATAGCCTATCTTCTTACAGAATGGTCTTGTATCTCTAAATACCAAGTACCCCTCTCACATAGGCTGATTGCCCTGGGGTGGCATGATATGGGGACATTGGTAATTGGGACATTGGTAATTCTGGTTTTCAAAGGACCTAAAACAACACCCCCTTGGTGGAAGAATGTGGATTAGTGTTTTAGCCTTAGAAAGAGCTTTTTTGTAAGGGGGGGGGGGAGAAAGAGAAGAAAAAAGAAAGCATTAACTGTTCCAGCTCCCTCAAAGCATCAGTGTTTGAATAACAACAACAAAAATGTGTACAGAAATAGGATCCAGAGAGATTGCATGAAGACTCTTCTTTTGTAATTGCCAGTAATGTTATTTAGAAACCCATTGGAAGGATGAAGAGATGGCTCAGTAGTTTAGAGCACAGGCTGCTCTTCCAGAGGTCCCAGGTTTAATTCCCAACACCCACAGGGCTGCTCACAACCACCTGTAATGCCAGTTCAAAGGGATACAGTGCCCTCTTCTGGCCTTTGTGGGCACTGAACACAGTGGTACATGTACACACAGGCTAAACACCAATACACATAAAATGAAAACAAATAAATATTTTAAAGCATTTCAAAAACTCTATTGGACTTCTAGACTCCTGAAGAGCAGTGTTCATGAGACAGATGAGAACAGCCTCTCATCATATACCGTGGAGGTGCAGGCATCAGTGCCGTTTCCGGGAATTGGTGTGGTTAGTGATCTGTCACTAAGCAATGCAATTCTGTAAAAGGTTACTGTTGTATTCCTCTCAGAGTCAATGCTTTCTGACTTACATGAAGCATCCTTACTTTGACAGGCAGAATTGATATTATAGGCAAGCACTGCCAACCACTCTGGGTCCTGCTGTAACTGTTCCTGTGACGTCGTTGTTTTGAAATGTATACATAAGTACTGCACACATTTTAGACTCATTGTTAAAGATTTATTTTGTCTATCTATCTATCTATCTATCTATCTATCTATCTATCTATCTATCTATCATCTATCTATCATTTCTCTCTCTCTCTCTCTCTCTCTCTCTCTCTCTCTCTCTCTGTGTGTGTGTAGTTCCTTCAGAGGCCAGAAGAGGAGGTCAGTTCCCCTGTAGCTGGGGTTACAGGTAGTTGTGTGTTACCTGACTTGGGTGCTAGGAAATGAACTTGGGTCTGACGCAAGGATAATGTGTGCTCTTAACTGCTGAGCCATCTTTCCAGCCCTCCATTTTAGGCTCTTAACTGGTCCAGACTGAGTGGTACATCAGGAAATATGAGAGATCAAAATCATAGGCAGGGTTCCCTCCCTCCCTCCCTCCCTCCCTCCCTCCCTCCCTCCCTCCCTCCCTCCCTTTATCTCTTTTCGCACCAGTGATACTTGTACCCACTAGCACCCATTGCCCATTCACAGCAAGAAGGGATCTCTCCTTTTCTTCCTTAAGCAAAGCCACTGGCGAAATCACACATCCTTCATGCTTACAGTAATAATGGATTGCTTTTCTTGTTTCTTTGTTGACACCTGCCCAGTATTTATGGGGAATGAAAAGAAAGTGCATGAACCTCTTAGGATATGCTCTTGTTAATTATCTGAACAAGAGTCTTGTGGTCTGAGTATGAAATCATTCTCCTAAACTTACTAAGTTCTTCAATCTGTTGTTTTTAATGGGGTAACCTCTAGGAAAGGACACTTGTCTGTAATGATTTTTGGTGGAAATTGGAAAGACTGGTGGAGTGCCGTCCTCCCCGTCACGTGAGCCTTTCTGTCAGTGCCATTTCCGCCTGCTCCTGTCTCTTTGCCTTGGTCTAACGGGCTCCACAGACAGCCCTGCTGCTATAATTTTCATTGGCACATTTCCAGAGATAGCCAAGGCAGCTCTCCTTTGAGCATATTCTTTTTGGTTATAGAAATATTATTGTTTGAAAAAAGAATTTCCTTTAAAAAAAACAAGGTAGAGCTGTGGCACGTTGCATACTATTAATGAGAATGCTTTTTGTTTCAACACTAATGTCATGAAAATACAAAATATTCAGATGAGCACTCACTGCTGGCACAGGAATCGGACAGCATATGAGGCTGAGAGGATGAAGCATAAACAGATATGCCCCTTTGGCATACAGGAAAGTAAAAAGCCCCAGGAATGTCAACCATGGGAATGTGAACACCTATACATTCTTTTATTATATTATTTTTATTTTTTCTTTTATGTGTATTAGTGTTTCGTCTGCATGTATGTCTGTACACCATGTGTGCCTAGTGTACGTTGAGACCAGAAGAGGGCATCAGGTCATCTGGGACTGGGGTTATAGACTGGGGTATATGTGAGCCATCATATACATGCTGGGAAAAGAAACCTGGTCCTCTGCAGGAACAACATGTGCTCTTAACTGCTGAGCCATTTCTCCAGCTCCTGGACTTCCATTTTTAAAAAAAGCAGTAACCCTTACCTTTAATATGACATGCTGTTTTACTGGGTGACATATAAAGCTAGTTTGGCAAACAGAATGGTAATAGAATATTTTCATAGAAAGTGTATATTGTGGGCAAGAGTGGCCATTATGGTCAACACCCTTTACATGTACCACATTTGGCAAGAGCAGGTGCATCCTCAGATGAACTTGTTCAGCCTACAGAAGTCACGGTTGCTACTTAGAGTGGAAATTACTCATTTATGACTTCAGCATATTTCCTGAGCACCTAATATGAATGGAATCAGGTTAAGCACGGGAGAGATAGCAGCGAGCCAAAAATCCAAAAGCACCTTCTCTCAAAGCTTGGATTTGTGGCATGCCATGGAAGGCCTTGCTGAAAGGGAGAAATCTGAGGGAAAGATCTGAAGGAATTGTGAGATTGAGCCATGTCTGAGGGAAGACCATGTCAGAAAGTGCTCCATGGCCATAATGAACTGGACATGTGAGGAAAAGGGAGGTCATCCTGGTCCCAGAGGAGTGAATTCCATACAGAGAAGTAGAACTCAAGTGTAGAGCTGTCAAGGAGAGCAGGACATGGGGAGAGACATAGAGATTGGGCTAAGACTATTATTGGCTTTTCTCTAAGAAGTCAGATAAGGGTTTGAAACAGGAACATCATCCTCTGCCTTGGGTTCTACTGGGATCACTGTGACTGAGATTGAAGTGAGTGAGGTTAGAAGCATGGACCAGTGAGGTACTCCTCACAGTAGCCATTGCTGTGCCAAGGTGCAGCCTGAAGCAAGCTGGCAAGACGTGCATGTGTTTCAGATGTTTGTAAATGCAGGATCTCTCGCCATTTGTCAGTGGCTTGACAAGGGCTTAAGTGAACAGGCAAGGTTGCTTTGAAGCTTTGTGAAGTATTTGGTAGAATGAAACGGCTGTGAACTGGGCGAAGAAGTGTAAGGGAGAGACAGGTGTCAGGGAGGAACATCAGAGCTCAGTTTTGCACCTGTAAGATTAAGACACTTAACAGACATCCAAGAAGACAAGGGGGTGGAAATGAAGGTATAAATCTGAGAGCCCTCAGCATTTAAATGCCTTTCAAGGCTAAGAGGCTGGTGAGTGGGTGTGATTAGGAAACTGGGGAAGCAGGGCGGGCTGGGATTGAGCCCCATGGTACAGTTAATGTCAGAAGGTAGGCATCTGTGTGGCTTAGAGTCTGTCAGCTTGACACACACGAGAATCACCTGAGAAGAGGGCACTTCAATTAGTGAAGACTGTCTGCCATCAGATTTGGCCTATGTGCAAGTCTGCTGGGCATTTTCTTGATTAGTGATTAATGTGGGAGGGGCCGGGTCATTGTAGTTCCACCCGGGGCAGGTTGTCTTGAGTTGTATACGAAAGCTGGCTGAGCAATCCTGTAAGTGATGTTCCTCCTCTGTGGATTCTGTGTCAGTTTCTACCCCAGGTTCTGACCTGGAATTCCTGCCTTGACTTCCCCTGGTGATGGACTCCATGTAAGGTAAAATAAGCCCTTCCTCCCCCAACTTGGTTTTGGTCAGTGTTTATCATGGGGGTGAGGGATGTGGAGGAAAATAGCACAGGAATTTGAGTAGTGCTGTTTTGGACCTGCCTGTGGTTTTTTGGTTTTTTGTTTGTTTGTTTTTTGGGCGAGGGGAAGATTATGAGAGAGGATGTTGGAACTTTGGACTGAAAAGTCATTGAGTGCCTAGAGGTCAGTGAGCTATTGTGGGAACCTGAAAGGTCATGCTGAGCACAGTGCAGATGATACAAGTCTGGACCCATGAAGTTTCAGAGAGAAGCAAAGACTCCATTGGGCTGTTTGTGAGATATAGAGAGAAGTGAAACCTTTGTTTACTGGGGAAATGGATGAAGATTAGCTGGAGCTGAGACATCAGCTGTGATTGAGACTGGCTTCCTCGAGGTAAAATCTTCTGGGAAGTATTTCCTCAGGGTCAGCCCACAGAAGCTGTGGTCCAGGGGACCCAAGGCCGAGTTCCAAGTTGGCAGCTGAACTTGATAATGTGTAAGTCTCCCCCATGGTACTGGTTTTGAAGGCATGAAGGGATCAAGGAAAAGGGCCGAGGCTTGGCACTGTAGGGCAGAGTTGGCATCTCTCCAGAGAGAGCCCAGGAGAGGCCATGGATGAAGGTGCTGTCTCAGCTTCATTGAAAACCCCAGGATTAAAGGGGTCATGGAGAGAAACTCAGGCTTGCCAGCATGAGGCAAACCCTGAGTCCGGAAGAGAGCCCAGGAGAGGCTGCTGGTGAAGGTGTGGCCTCAGAAGCAGCAGGGACTCCAGGGCTTTAGGGATGCCAGTACCTGGGGGCGGGGTGGGGACGTGGCCACAGAGGGCAGTGCAGTTTCAGCTCCTGTGCTATATAGAGTTAGTCTTAGCATCTCTTCCCTTCTCCTCTGCCCATTCATTCCCTGCTTAGGGAAGGGGAAGTGTGGACCGGTCCGCTGTTCCCCACGGAAGCTGCTGTTGTGGGCTCTGAACAAAGAGACTGGGTAGTGAGGCTTCCCTGGGAAAGCAGCTTTTAATTACGATAGCAATCCTGGCCGAATTCAATTTACAGACAAACAAAAGCCCAGAGCAACCAGCACAGTAAAATGGGGCCTTTTATATGACTTTTGTCTTGTCTCTCATGTATGCTAACATATAATTTTATTGGCCATTTTAAATCCTTAAGGTGGGAGTCTAAAGATGGCCTGAATATAGAAGAGAGGGCTGCTCCAAGACAGACCAGGATCTCGCATAAGCATTTTAGTAGGGAAGAAAGCTCAGGGCAGCCGCTCTTCTCTTCCTTGAAGGCTTTGGGAAGGCTTATTGAGCAAGGAGGGGGTTGAAGGAGAGGGATGGTCAAGTTTATCTATAGTTAAGGACATTGCTCAGCCACAAGGCTGTTGTTTTCTTTCCCTGGCTCTCAGGGACCCCTACCATCCTGTCCTTAGGAGAGACCTTCTCAGTAAACAGATTTGGTGGGACTGCATTTTAATTCTGGGCCTGAAACATGACACTGGCATGTAGTTTTAGGGTTTGTTGTGGAATATTACTTTAACTAGGCAAAGATGTGTTACATTTGTTTATGTTGTGGAATATTACTTTAACTATGTAAAGGTGTGTTATATTTATTTAATTATGTAAAGATGTGTTGCTGTTTCACCTTGCCTGCCTAAGGCACCTGATTGGTCTAATAAAAAGCTGAACAGCCAATAGCTAGATAGTAGAGGAATAGGCGGGGCTGGCGGGCAGCAAGAATAAGTGGGAGGCGAAATCTAGGCTCCAGAGAAGAAAGAATAAGGGAAGAGGAAAAGGAGGTGTCCCAGGCCAGAAGCTAGGCAGTGGCCAGCCAGACACAGAGGACACAGGAAAGTAAGATATACAGAATGAAGGAAAAGTAAAAAGCCCCCAAGACAAAATGTAGATAAAGAGAAACAGATTAAAACAATAGCTAAGATAAGGCCTAGCATTCCTAACTACTAACGAGTCTCTGTCATGATTTGGAAGCTGGCTGGTGGCCCAAAAGAAAAAAAAAAGCCTGTTACAGTTTTAGGGTTGGCTCTTTCTATAAAGCAGTTGCTAAAATACAATGTGTAGAATTGAAGATAACCGTACACCATGTTATCACAGCACATGTCCAGATCATTGAGATTTATAATTTCAAGTCAGCTGTACTTGAATACTTGTGTTTTTCGTGATTTGCTTTATGTCTCTTTTTTTTTTATTATTGTATGTGTTTGTATGTATGATGTGTGGGTGGGTGCACACACATGCCTTTATATATTTGTAGAGGACAACTTTGTGGAGTTGGTTCTCTCATCCTAGCTTTCATGGGTTCTGGGACACAAACTCAGAAGGTCAGGACTTCTCCACAAGTGCTTTTTCTGCTAAACTATCCTGAAGACACCTCTCCACGGCCCCCTTTACCTTAATGCCTTATTTCCGTTATAGTAAAAGGCAAGGTCTAAAGAAATTGCTGTTTCTTTAGCATTTAGGATTAAGATACTAGGAGTGCAACATTACTTTTTATCCAGAGTGCTAAATATACAGGATGGACCCTGCAGGGCAGACTTCCACCAGCTCCAAAGTGGTGAGGATTTCTGTTCAGGTGCTGGTGTGAGGAAGCTGTAGCCAGGAGCTAAAGCAAACACAGGGACACGATGTCCCAGTCCAAATGGGGTTTAAGGTAGGAGTAAATTAGGAGACGAGGATGGCCATTGGAATGATAAAAGCCAGCCCTGCGGGATGCCTTCTTAGCTGACGCTGAGCTAAGTGCTCTGAGAGCACTTTCCACCAGCCAGTGTAGGCCAGCCTCAGCAACAGAGCGGGGTGCGATAAAGCAGCTTGTGCAGAAAAGGACAGAGGCAGGGAAAGGAGAAGGTATTCATTTGTTTGTGGTGGTCAGGAGGCCAGCTATACGTCCATTCCAAAAAGTGATCAAGACCTGAATTGCGTCAACACAAACATGAATGAGGTGGAATAGAGTCAACTCATTGTAAATATCTCGGAAAAAAAAAAATCTAATCCAAGGCTGCAAAGTAATAGATTGGAGCTTGGGATAACCTGTGACCTGTGACCTGTCTTCACACCCCCATTGTGATGGTTGACTGATTTCTTGTTATATGCGGTGCACCCTGGAATCTCCAGAAAGCTCAGAGTCCTGAAATGTTTCTAAGATAGTTCAAATCCCTCGGAACACTAATCTCACTTTACCTGTCTTGCAGATTCCATTGTGATCGGATTCTGGGTTGGTCTTGCGGTCTTTGTGATTTTCATGTTTTTCGTGCTGACTTTGCTGACGAAGACAGGTGCTCCACATCAAGAGTAAGTCTGGGCTACTCTGCGCTTCACATAGAACTAGACAGGGAACCAGGCTTGGGCCAACCGGGGATGGGGAGGTGGGTCAGGCATGGATTGCTACCCAGATCCAGGTGCTGTCCAGGAGAGATCACTTTCTCCCCCGCCTTTTGACTCTTGTTAACCTTATCAAATTAGGCTTCTTGGTCCTTCCATGCCATGTTCATGCTGCCCCCAGATCTGAGTTTTATACTGAAGTTAAGATGCACCTTCTCCCTTTTTTGAAAAGATTTCTATGGGAGACATTGGCTGCAAACGCTGATGTGTTTACAGAACTGAGCCGGGCAGCAGTACTTCCCTGCCTGGTCTCCACAGGTGATCTCCCCTGCCTGTTGTGGTGGGTTCTTTGTCTATACTTCAACTATAACGAAACATCCCAGTGAAAGGGAACTATTCAGCCCATCACATAGTTTGCTTGAGACTTCAGGAGCTAGAGGAATCCTTTAAATATAAACATTCTAAATGATGGGCAAATGCTGTCATGTTTCAGTATAAGCTGACATATGTTGGAGAATCCCTTTAAAAGCCTCTAGAAATATTCTCATTTTCCCTCTCTCCTTCCCCTCTCCCTTTTCTTCATCCTCTTTTCCCTAAAAAAAACAAACAAAAACAAAAATCCATACACTTTTGCTTTTCATATTATTGTTCTAGGAAATCCAAACATGTGGTGTGGTTTGTAATAGGAAGAAAAGACAAGGTTAAAACAAACAGACAAAACAGATCAGAGAGATGGCTCAGTGGTTAAGAGCATTGACTGCTCTTCGGGAGGACCCTGGTTTGATTCCCAGTACCCACATGGCAGCTCATGACTATCTGTAACTCTACTTCCAGGGGATCTGATGTCCTTTTCTGGCCTCATTTGGCACCGGACATGCACCTGGTGTACATACAAGCAGGCAAAACATTGTACCTACACCTAGCTAGGCCATGCTGTCTAGCTATTTGGCCAAACACTACTCTAGGTGTTTCTGTACAGGTATTTTTTTAAATGAAGTTAATACTTAAATCTGCATACTTTAAGCTAGGGTTGGGCAGATTACCCTCTGGAAGATGGGTGGGCTTCATTCACTCAGCTGAGTGACTTTCTAGAATCACCTTGACACCCAAAACAAGAATTCTTCCCTGAGTTTATAGCCTGCAGAGCTTACAGAGTATGAATGAGCCAATTCTGGAATGAAATTTCTCTACACACGCATGCACGCCTGCATGCATGCACGCAGTAGAAGCAATGGAGAGAGACTGGAAAGAAAGAGGAAAAGAGAAGAGGAGGAGAAGGAGGGGGAGAAGGAGGGGGAGGAATGGAGACAGGGGGGAGGGGCCAGAAACAATTCTGTTGTTTCTCTGGAGAACCCTGTCTAGCCTACTACCTTAAGGAGTCGTTCTGAACTGTGCTCAGTCACAGACCAGGACTCACCAGGACCCTGCATGCTTCTAACAAAGTGAAAGGGTCTTCACTCTCAGGAAATAGTGGATCAACCCAGAGCTATAGCTTAACTACTTCTTCACCGAGTCTGAGACCGTGTTAAGATGTGGCTCTGGGAGGGACTATTTGAGCTAACCTGGCTTATGGGACATTAATGCCGCTGGGATGTCAGGAGAGCACAGCAGAGGCTGACTCTTCCTCAAGTTGACACGACACATTGGCAAGGGACAGATGGAGGCTTCTTCCATTAGAGCAGTGTTGCTCAACCTGTGGGTCACGACCCCCTTTCCCAGAGGTCGCATATCAGATATTTACATTACGATTCATAACAGTGGTAAAATTACAATTATGAAGTAGCAATGAAATAATCTTATGGTCAAGAAGGTCATGGCAACATGAGAACTAACTGTACTAAGGGTCGCAGCATTAGGAAGGTTGAGGACCACTGCTCTAGAGCATTGCAGTCCCTCAGCTCTTGTGACAGCATGCATGGGGATTTGGACCTTCCTGTCCTTTAGCTGGGAAGTACTGCACGTCCTTTCTTCCTGCCAGTCACTGGTCAGAACCAGCAGTGCCCTCCTGCTGACTCAGGATGGGGAACAGCGCGGGGCTTCCTGTCTAGAGGAGGAGAGAGCCAGGTGCCTGTAGGCATGAGGAAAGAAAGGCTAGCGAGAGATCCAGGTAGGAAGATGCTTCCTCTTTATGAAAAGCTTTTAGGCCTCAGAAGCAGCTTTGATGGTGATAATTTTTCCCGGGGAGTATTGTTTGCGTGTGGCGGGGAAGCTCTTACCTGGATGTTGGAGAGATAGTGAAAAGCCATTCTGTCTCACTTGTCAGCGGGGGAGCCTGAGTGGTATCTTGCAGCATTATAGTCCATTAGCACACATCTGTCAGAGACACGGGTAGGGTTAGGGTTAGAGAGGTCTTGGATTCATTTTTATGTTGTATATTTTGGACTTCTTTAAAAAAAAAAAATTCCAAGCCTCAGACATCCACCACAAATGGCCTTCTTTTGTAGCCTTTGCTAAATGACCCGTGTCCTGGTAGATGTAGCTTTTATTTAAGGGCGAATACAGGCTTGCTTGTGATCTTATAAAACTGGGAATGACATTTTTTCTCTCAAATTGTAATTTAGCAGAATGTGGCACTCACTGCAGGATGGGGGTATGTAACAAGAGCAGACATTGTGAAAATGTCAGCGCTGGGAATCACTGGTGCCCACCACAGCCCTGAGCTAGCTGGCAGGGGGCAGACATGGTGAGTGGTTGCTAAGGAACCCTGGGATCTCAAGATGCCACTGACCACTGTCAACAGGTGGGAAAGCTGTGTTGGGTCCATCCCAGAAACCTTTGCTGAGTTGCCTTTGTTTCCCCATCAATTAGGAGTCTTTACTAGGTTAATAGTTGCTGCCTGCCCAGGGCCATGCTGAGAAGAATTCTAAGGGTAGACTTTTCCCTACCCACACAGCCTGACATCTCCCTGCTAATCACCAAAAGGTGTACATAGCAGGACTTTCATCAGAGTGTGTGCTTGGCACCCCCGTCAGGCTGATTTATACCATGTATAAACTCTTGACACAGGCTGTGTCTCCATGAATGGTGGTGGTTATTTTCTCAGAGAATTTCACTCTTAGGAGGCCGTGTCCCAGCTTCTAAGAGCCCCTGTGGAAGTGGCTGTTGGAAATGGCAGGCACCACCATTCTGCTCAGCCCGCCTCCATCCGTGAGTAGATGAGGAGAGTAATTGGTGTGTGGTGGCTCGGCCCGGCAGCAAGCATTTGTAGGGAAGCAGGGAAATCCTTTGGGACTGACTTAGGACATAACTTGTGTTGTCCTCTGCAGCTGGAGGTGTGTGTGTGTGTGTGTGTGTGTGTGTGTGTGTGTGTGTGTGTGTGTGTTACATCCTCTTGACTTGATTTGGGTTTCTGTCACAAAAAGACCAATCTGAGATGTCTATGTGTCCCATAGCAGTCAGGGTTTGGGACAAGCCTGTAGATACAATCTTGTGTTCAGTGTTTCACGTATCACCCACTGAGGCCATGTTTTACAAAGCCCTTTGAGGGACACAAATATTTACCAATGTACAGAAAGACCAGAGGCAAACGGCCCCCTCAGAAGGCAGAAAAGCATGACCTGTAAGAGAAACCAGAGAAAGATGCAGGAAAGGGGTGGGTGAACAGATGCCTTCCTGTTACCAGGTCACAGAGTCTTGCCATGGAGGCAGTGACCATCTCAGGACAGAGGCCTCCTGGACATGACAAACAGAGGCATAAAGAGGGGCAGTCGGGTCCACTGTAGCTACACTGTAGAGTGAGTGAGGGGATTGGTGAGAGCGAGGACGTGGGAAGGGATGAGCAGGGTTAGGAATATCAGGCAGAGGGTGGTGGGGACTTGAAAGTAGATGAGTAGATGGGGCAGGGCATGGTGAGTAAGGACAGTCACTGCATGGGTTAGAGAACTGGCTGGCCCTTCTGGAAGATGCTGTCTGGTCTGGTGCAGATAACCCCGCAGGCCTGGAGAATATTGGGTGCACCCTATAGTGAGAAAATGCCAAGGCTTGGAACAGTCAGGTCTAGCCAGGGAAACAGATGGGGGTTGGAGATGATTAATGAAGTCCAAATTAAAAATAAAGCATACACACTTGCAAAACAGTGAGAAGACAGGTCAGGTTTCTAGCAAAAGAAACAGTCTTTATTTCTCAGACCTTAGGATGACGTGGGAAGACTTCTAAACACTCTAGCTAGATCTCGGCTGCAAAACAACAGCAGAGTTGGTTGGGTATGAACTGTCGCAAATGAGGAACTGGGATTCCTGGGGATAATACTTTCCGGCAACATTCTTTGAGCACTCTGTTTCACGATAGTGTCAGCCCTTAGCCCATCCTTCCAAGGTTCCATTCTTGACTCTTGAGGCTTCTGGTTTCAGATGTCATTTTAGCTAAGGTGGAATTTAAGATGTTTGGACCTTGTAATTTTCTGTTTCCACAGATGTAGCCAGAGCTGTGGACAATTCGGCTGGGTTTAAACTTCTTTTTAACTGCTCTTGTAGATGTTGTGAGCTTTAGTTTCCCCCCAGGACCTCCCAAGTTTGAGAGGCTGAAGCTGCAGCTGGTTCTCTTCTGTCAGGAGAACATATAACCTATGGAGTGGTACCCAGGCCACACATTTTATGAGTCTGGCAATAATGCGTGTATTTCATCCCTGAGCACTGAAGGACGGGTACAGCTGCAAGCTCCCACTGCCTGTTAGAGAGCATCTTTTGACAGTCTCTGTGTCCATTACCTAAGAGTATTCACAGGTATGAATCAACAAGGGCTAAGCGGCTTTAAGAGTAGCGCCCTCTAGCATGCTTGGGTGAATTGAGGCCTGCAGGCTGGATGTTGCTGACGATACCTATGTACATGGCCCACAAGATCATAAACTTACTTAAAACATATTTTTTTGTAACTTAAGGTTTTAAATTAAAAATTTATGTGTATGTGTGTATCTCTGTATGCCCTATGTGTGTAGGTAGCCACAGAGGCCTGAAGAGGGTGTCAGATCCTTGAATCTAGAGTAACAGGTAGTTACTAAGCACTCAGGTTCTCTGGAAGAACAGTCAGTGCTTGGCTCTTGGGTGCTATATCATCTGTCTAACCTGTAACCCAAGATCCTTGAAGGTGAACTTTGTAAACAGCCATGCTGTGTTAAACATTGAACATGACTGCAGGGTTTTCGCCACCTTTCTTGAGGGCCATTCACACTAATAAATAGTTGGAAGATAGTCCACCACTACCATGGTATCTGGGCCTGTGCAAGCACCCAGGCTGGTCAGTTGTAGAAGGTACAAAGTACCAGATGGTTGATGCCTGCCAAGCACCCTGGGGACGAGGCCCCATGGCAGACTCTTGAGCAGCTCTTAGAGATGTGGGGGGCAAAGACAAGGTGGTTTCCTGTAGCCAAATACAGGTAGACAGAGGAGAAACCGCATGGGATTGGTTGTTAGACCTCCCGCATCACTGGCTCTGGAATCTACACTGTCAGTCATCTTTCCATTCAGGTTCATCTGCTTCCGGTTTTGGGCCTTAGCTGAGCATGCCTTTGACTTTATTTCCAGCCTGTAGGATCTGTAGAAGAGGCATCTTGCCAAGCCAAGATTTGCTTTAATTTCAGATCTCTTCATGACTGATGTGTTCAATCACTGATCCAACAAAAACATGCTGAGCAATTAGTATGTACCTACTGCAGTTCTTGGAACTGGGGGTGCGGTAGGCAAGAAGCTCACAGTGCCTTCCCTGGAGAGCTTACAGCCTAAAGGAGGTGACAGAGAAGTGGAGAAATAGGCACAACACAGAGGGAAGATGGACGAGGTGAAGCACCCCGTGTCCCCGTAGAGCAACTACCCCAGGTCATGAGAATTAGAAAAGGTTTCTTGCAGAGATGGTTCCTAGATGACTCAGGAGGGGCTGAGAGAAAGGAGCAACTTGGCAGATATTGACAGGGCTCCTACCGGGAAGTGCTGTTGGCCTGTGCTGGCTGCTAGAGAGCCATGCTGTATGCTATAGGCCTGTGAGTTTGAACATCACTATAGCAATGATGGTTGGGGGTTCTATGAAAATGCTGATTGCTGAGTATCTCCAGGATCCTAAAGGTCTGTAAGGCAGGACTCTGTTTCTTTAGGAGCACTTAAACTGACTTTGATGCAAGGCCGGGAGATGGCCTAGTTGCTAAAGTGATGGCCACGTAAGTATGAGGACCTGACTTTGGATTCCCAAAGCCCACATAAAAACCAGTGTGTGCTGGGTGACTGTAATCCCAGCACTGGGAAGGTGGAGGCAGGGGGATTGCCTGGTTCTTGCTGGCTAGCCAGCCTAAGTGAGCTACAGGTTCAATGAGAGACCCTGCCTCATAAAAGTAAAAACAAAACAAACTAAAGTGTAGAAACAATTGACACTGGATATCAACTTCATGTCTCCACATGCACCTGTACACATATTCATACACAAACACATATGTACACATAAATACCACATATACAAAAGCACAAAAATAAAGATTAAAAATTGATATCTATTCAGGAGATCTAAGAATCCCTCGAGATCCCTGGAGTGCTTACGGGATGCTGGGGGGTCCTGTACCCTATCTGCCCTCAGGAAAATCCAGCAGCTTTCATCCAGAGGGTTTTGTCTTGAAGTCCTATGTTTAGAAGTGATGCATCTCTCTGCTAGTGCTAGTTTGCATAACCTTAAGGGACACCCAGTAGATGCTTCCTGGGAATCTCCTGGCCTGCCCTCCATGCAGGACACCATGAGCCTATAGGCGAGTAAGCTGCAGGTCTGTGACCTCTCTTTCTTGTCTTTGTAGCAATGCAGAGTCGTCAGAGAAGAGATTCAGAATGAACAGCTTTGTGTCAGACTTTGGGAAACCAATGGAGTCAGATAAGGTGTTCTCTCGTCAGGGTAACGAGGAGTCCAGGTCTCTCTTCCACTGTTATATCAATGAAGTGGAACACTTGGACAGGGTCAAAGTCTGCCACCAAACAACAGCCATCGACAGTGATGTCCAACTCCAGGAAGCCATCAGAAGCAGTGGGAGGTCTGAGGAGGAGCTGAGCAGGTTTATGAAGTTTGACATCCCCAACTTCGTGAACACGGACCAGAACTCCTTTGGGGAGGATGATCTTCTGATTTCAGAACCACCTGTTCTTCTAGAAAATAAGCCAGTTTCCCAGACTTCACGTATAGACCTGGACTGAGAAATGCTTGTGGGCACCTTCCTGAGGATGTATTCTGTCTCTGTATAGCCAGAAACCTCCCCCTCCCCTTGGTGTGTGTGTGTGTGTGTGTGTGTGTGTGTGTGTGTGTGTGTGTGTGGAGAGAGAGAGAGAGAGAGAGAGAGAGAGAGAGAGAGAGAGAGAGAGAGAGAGGATGATATTGAAAGTTTAAGATCTAGGCTAGGGCTGGGACTTAGTGATAGAGGTATAGAGTTTGGAGATGGAAGGCACCATTTTGCTGTCTTTTTTGTAGGGGGGAGGTGGTAAGTTTTGTTTCTTTCCCTTTTTGGATTAAAAACACACAGTATTAAAGCTTCCTTATTGAAAAAATTGGCTACATGTACAGTTGAGCTCCCCTGGGTGAGGGTTAGGTCACTGCATTCTGATCTAGCCCATTGCCACCATTCTTTGCCTCTAACAGCTGCTTTACTTCTCTGGACTGCATGGCTTTAAAGGTAAGGCGGCATATCTGGAGTAGATGACCCATCCCAGCTCAAACATTTTGTGACTTAGCATCCAAGACGAGCTAACGCATATAGAAGCAGTAGAAAATAGAACATGGCATCCTGGCTCTGACTGCAGGCTCTCCAGGTCTTGGTACCCTCCCTCCAGTCAGTCCTGCACTAGGTCATATGTTAGTTAGGGGAGCCTTCAGCAGGAGTCCAGGAGACTCACACACTGTGACAGTGCTTCTGCTGAGTGGCGCTGAGGCAGTTTATCTGAGGAACGCCATCCACCTGTGCTTTAAACCTGGGACAGCTCTGACCCCCGTGAGTGCCAGCCTAACGTACTTCACAAGCATTTGAGCTCTCAAAAAATGGTAGGGCAGATTGTCACCTGGCTGATTGGGTCCTTTCTGAGCATCCCTGTGGTCACACTGCTGAACTATTTGGCTGCAGAACAAGATATCGTTTGCCATGCTGTCTGTCTGCTTTGGCGGGTGTGTAGATGTTGACTGCCTGGCTTGGAGCTGAGATGGTCAATGGGTTGTATGTACCACAGTAACATGTTCAGGATGGGGTGATGTGATGTTAACATGAGCAATATGTTGTTCGTTTCACAAAGGAATCAACCCTACTTTGCTGGCGTCAGAAACAACTCAGTCTTGCACACGGTGAGTTGTATGCATGGACAGCAGCTCGTCTCTGGGTAGCATTGTCTTTGTGATTTGTCATTTGTCTTGCTTAAGTTGCAAAATAAATGCATTTATTGCACAGGAATTTCCTCTGGTTTGATTTTAACACAGGCAGGTTTTCATTTCTCTAAAAAGATATCCCATGTCTGCAATGTCTCTTGATTTCTGAGAGTGTAGACTCAGCTACAGAGGAGCTTGGTTTGGGAATGACTCCATCCAAGGAAATTCCTTTCTGAAAATGTCAATTCTTTTTTCCTCTGTGTAGCTTTGGTGCCTGTCCTGGATCTCACTCTGTAGACTAGGCAGGCCTTGAACTTTAACTCACAGAGATCTGCCTGCCTCTGCCTCCCGAATGCTGGGATTAAAGGTGTATGCCACCACCACCCCAAAGTTCAGTTCTTTAAGAGACCAACATAAAGTAGTAGTAGATCAAGGACTATTTAGTATAATATAATTAAAGCCATTTTAATGAATCCTTACAAATAGATACATGCTACCTTTATGTATATTTTTATGCAACACAACAAGATTGACCTTATTAACTTGCATGAGTAGTAACAATTTATATCAATTAAATATAAATTATGGGCTACTTCTTAATAATGATTGAAAGGTATCATATTATGAGGTTGAGATCATATTATGAGGTTGATTAGCCAGAAGAGGACTTAGAGGACTAAACAATAGGAGGGATGTTCCTGAGTGCATCATAATTTTAAGTACTAAATGTTAAGAACCTTGAAAAGCCCAAGGCTTTACAACCTCTTTCAAGTTAGCAGGCTAGGCACTCTCAGCCTCATGGATGCTTCCACAGAAGCAAGATTTCTGAGCAAGACCAAGAACTTTCATTTCAGCCCAGCAGACTGCAGGTAACTCACATAGATGTTGATTTCTGAGTTAATTTTCCACTGCTTTTATAATAATTTTAGACAGACAGTGGCTTAAGGCAACACAAACTTTTTTTTAATTATAGTATACAAGGCTAAAACCAGCCCCAGACAACTAAAAACAAAGTATTAACAGTGCTGTGTTTTATCTTAGAAAAGTTGTGGTTTGGACTTGGAATGTCCTCCAAGTTGAGCACTTGGTCCCCAGCACAGCAGTGACCGGAGGTGGGATTTGTAGTGGGTAGTCATTCCAGCTTGGATCTGGAAGTTCCAAGCCCCATTGAGACTCTGGCAACTGTCACACCTATGAGGTGGGGCCAGGGGAGGCACCTGGAGACCCGAGAGCTGGATGGGCCAGCGCTCTCTCTGTGTGCTCTCTCTGTGCTGGGACGCTGAATGGTGGAGGTGGACTGTGCAGAGCTCCAGAGAACACCACTGGACTGCGATACAACTTTCCCAGACCCTGCAACCTACCTATCAGTTAATTTGTGAGTTACGCCATTAAATAAATATCCTTTTAACTACATGGAGTGGCCAAAATAATTTCACCAATAGGAATTCTGGGAGGAGATTGGATCATGAGGCTTATGAGCTCGTTAATAGACAAATGGGTTCCTAGTTTAATGGACTAACAGAGGTGATAAAAACTTAGGAGGTGGAGAACCTAGTTGTTAGTATACTTCAGAAAGCTGGGTGTTGCTGGCCCTTCTGTTCCCTGGCCTCTGTAAGGTAAGCGGCCTCCTTCACCTGGAAAGGACAGAACCAAATGACCATGGATTGAGGCCTCCAAAACCATGACCCAGATACACTTTTCCTTCACTTCCTTCAGGTATTTTGCACAGCAAAGGGAAGCACCTAACGTAGGAGGCTCGGGAAGGATCCACCATCTTGCCTTTATCCGTTTCTACAGGGGGCTCGATCTTTGGGTCATGATCTCGTGGTACTGTGATAGCTTTCACTGTCTCTGTCTCTTACTGCCCTGCTCTCCTCTTACGAGGAGTCTGGTTTACTTCTATTGGATTATGGAGGATAACCCACTCCAAGTCTTCCCTTCTTGATCTCGTCTGCTAAAGTTACTCTCCTCATGAAAAGTAACGTCGGACCATTTTCCAGAGATGAGGATATGGTCATGTTGAGAGCCAGTAACCCTTCCTGTCTTCTTTGGCCCAGTTCATCCTCCATGTAAAATATAGTTGTTGCAAAATGCTAGAGTTTCAGTCCATTACAGTATCAACTCCAAGCTGCATATTGTCATTATTTTAACCACCTCAGGCAGTGTTAGTCCTGGGTAAAAAGTCCTCTCCATCTATAGACCTGTAGAACTAGAAAATATTTTTGGTTCCTTGGTGTGAAAAGTCTAAGATACAGATTATAAAATTCCTGTTCATGGGTCACAGGTCCCAATACATTTCAAAACTCAAGGGAGACGATAGTTCCACTAGGTTTCAGTGTAGCTTGTGACTTCATATCCTCTCACCTAAGAACTAACCTAGCCTGATGCTGAGCTTCCAAGATGAGATGAGATGGGGCACATTCATGATGGCACACAGTAGACTGTAATTTATATTCTGAGCCTACACCTCTTTTGGAATGGTCCTTTGTCTTTGGATGGGAGAAGTGGCCTATGCTGAGTATTTATCAGCCTGTTTCTTCATGAATAATTTTACCTTGCAAGATCTCTCTTGTCCACTTCGGCTTATTCAGACAATTTCCTGCATCATGTTAGGGGCACTTAACATATTCGGGACTGTTCAGCTCACTGTCCCATGTCTCTGGCTTTTCTGTCTTTGTTTATGGTGCTTCACTTTCAGGACTAATGGGATAATGTCTTGCCAAAGGACCCAAACTCTAAATGGCTCGTGATGACAATGGCTGTGTCTCAGGGACATCCCCTCATTACCGTACTCTTGGAAGAATTGGATCCTTCCTCGAGTTACTGTATGCCCAGCCCTGTTCTGGCCCTCCTTTGGGAGCAGTCACTGGTGTGCCCCTGCACTTACAGGCCTGCTGCCATCTGGAATTTTGGTCATGTCTTTCCCAGTGATGTGCAGCTTAAACTCCTTATACTGACTAGAACCAGCTGCATGACATTAGCATCACTGCATGAGCGAGTCAGCCTTCCCGCCACACTTAGTGATGCAAGGTAACGCTCACCTGGCTGATGATTTCTCCCATCAGCAATATCATGCTGAGGGCACTTATGAATGCTTCTATTTTGCTTTTTCTTCCTTTCCACTCTCACTACTTCTGGTGATATTATGAGAATCCTATTATTTGCATCACCCATTAATCCTTAGAAAAGCATCATGATTTTAAAGGCTGCTTTATAATTAGAAAAGCACTCCCAGAATTTTGTCCTAAATAGAATCTCAAATAATGATTTGAGAAACTCAGAGCATTTTGATTTTTAAATCCAGAATGGCATGCCTATAAAAATTCCAGCACGTAGGAGGCTGAGACAGGAGGAATGCCAGGAGTTCAAAGCCACCCTGGAACACATGGCAAGATGCTGTTTTAAAAAAATTCTTAGTAAACTTAGTTTTATAAAACACTATAGCAGTCATTGCCATGAAGCCACTGATTTCTGTGGTACTTTTGCAGCAGGTTTTCTTGTAAGAGTCATGAAACTATTAGGAAGCTAGCTAGAAATTAGGAGGCTTGAAAGTCATCCAGGATGGACCTAGTCAAGCATCTATCAGTGCCAGGGCCCTATCTTATGCCCCTAATAACACACCAATTTTGCAAGTGATGGGTTATAGACAATTTGACTAATTGCCTCCTCTTATAGTTTGTAATGCCAAAGGACAGAAAAGGATCACAATGCCACTTCTTAAAATAGAAGCTACCAGACAGAAGGAAGGAAGGTGGAGGCAACAAGGCTTTGCTGAAGCCCATTAGAAGGCTCTTCCCTCCTGGCAAAGCATCGTTGTTCTTACACATTTGTATATACTTTTCTAACACACCCTGCTGACATTGCTTATGGTCAGAAGAACAAGTTGATTCTCAGGCCCTGAATGGAGACGACTTTCTGAACGCCAAGGAGATTATCAATAGGTTATATTATAGATATATAATCTATATATAAAATCTTATATTATATATAGATTATAAGACTACTATCAAACAGGTTTTCTGGTAAAGAGCAAAGATGTGCACTGTCCCTTCCTTTGAAGTTAATTCAAAGGGGCCCATTGCTGTGGGATGTTCTGTATGTCAAATGTGTTGCTCTGACTGGTTAATAAATAAAACACTGATTGGCCAGTAGCCATACAGGAAGTATGGGCAAGACAAGGAGAGAATTCGGGGAAGTGGAAGGATGAGGCAGAGAGACACTGCCAGCCGCCGCCACCATGACAAAAGAGATGTAAGGTACCAGAAGGCCATGAGCCATGTGGCAACTTATAGACTAATAGACATAGGTTAATTTAAGATAGAAGAATTAGATAGCAAGAAGCCTGCCACGGCCATACAGTTTGTAAGCAATATAAGTCTCTGTGTGTTTACTTGATTAGGCTTGAACAGCTGCGGGCCTGGCGGGTGAGAGATTTGTCCTGACCATGGGCCAAGCAGGACTGGGGAAAACTCTAGCAACAGTCATCAGGATGGAAAAAAAAATGTCTTGCAAGAAGCTGCTACAAAAACTTAAAAATAGAAAGTCCACCTAAACATGCAGGCTGGCAGAGTGGTCTCCTGGACTCTTTGTGGAGACCCACAGAGGTTTCCTAGTGAGAATTTACTCAGGGTCTGAGTATCTGAGCTTGCTTTACCCAGCAGGGCTGTATAAGGGGATGATTTGACTATGGGCGTGTTTACCAGGTGTTTGGAAGGGTCTACACTTGGCTGTATGGTGTGCTTTGACCTTGCAAGGGGGAGGTCTCTTGCCTCTCCCTTTGGCATGTTGTAAAAAGCCTTTGAATAAACCTTCAATGTAGCCAGAAGTTTCCAGGTCTCTGCCTTGTCCCCAATGGTCCAGACAAATCTCTCTCACCCTCAGCTGCTCTGACCCAAGTAAACACACAGAGGCTTACATTACTTACAAACTGTATGACCTATGGCTTTAGCTGCTTGTCAGCTAGCTCTTTCATGGCAAATCAACCCATTTCTATAAATCTGTTACCACGTGACTGTGGTGTTACCCATCTGCTGACATCTTGCTGCTCCTTCAGCAGTGGGCTCACATCTTTCTGCCTCTGCCTTTCTTCTTTCGGTCATGGGTGAAGCAAACACCACTACACTTTGAGCCATTGGGTAGTGATCCAGGCCCTCCTGAAGCTATCCTGTGTTTCTGTCTGTCTTCTAGTCTTCCAGGCCTCTTTCTTTTTTCTTTTTTTTTTTTTTTTTGGTTTTTCGAGACAGGGTTTCTCTGTGTAGCTTTGCGCCTTTCCTGGAGCTCACTTGGTAGCCCAGGCTGGCCTCGAACTCACAGAGATCCGCCTGCCTCTGCCTCCCGAGTGCTGGGATTAAAGGCGTGCGCCACCAACGCCCGGCCCCAGGCCTCTTTCTAAGTAATCTTTTCTTATCCCTCTCTCATAAGAACCCTTCCAGAGGTGGGAGCTGGCCTCCCACAACCCTTGCAGCATATAAATACATTTGACAATTACATGGTAACATTTCTATCCCTAAACATCTCCAATTTTCTATCAGCTGTTTTTGATCCATGTTTCAGCCAAACAAACTGTTAGAAGCCCTTTCTAACTTCTTGAAATGCAAAATTTAGTTTTGAGATAGGATCTCATCTATTTCAGTGCTGGGATTTGAAGCCAGGTCTTTGTGCATGCTAGATAATCACTCTGTTGATGGAGCTACATCCCCAATCTTATGAGTTCTTTATTCAGAATCTCTGCTTTTGTGGATGCATATCAGTATGTTTAGTCTGATCCAACTTAATGTTCCTTCATATGCATTTTTCCATTAATCCCTTGGACTCTACTTGTATAAATTAGAAAAACCACACCTCCTTGTGGGTTACAGTTCATATCTCACCTTTGGGAGCTTATTGGGACTTAAGTCCACTTACAGGTATAGAAGCAGCCAGGGTTGGTGGCTTTCTGCCTCAAGGTAAACCAGCATTATCTTGCTTGGCACCTGCCTTAGGATAGGCCATTGATGTTTGAGTCAATGCAAGGTTAATTCCCTCTTGTGGTGAAAAGCTGCTATTGCCTACTTCTGAATAGAGTTCATCAGGCTGGGGATGTATAGTTCAGAGCCCTGGATTCAAATCCCAGCACTGAACTAGATGGGATCCTGTCTGAAAACTAGAACACCGGCACTATCAGAAAGAAAAGCTCTCATTGAAGCCCACTTGGGTGATACACACACTTGTAGCCCTAGCACTGAGGCGACCAAGGCAGGAGGATTCAAGTTGGACTTAACCCTGGGCCACACAGCAAGACTGTCTCAAAACTAAAAAGGGCGCTTGCCTGGCATCTATGGCACTCTGGGTCGGATTCCCTGTACGGTCAAAAAGGAAGAAAATCACACTGGAATTTAGCAGCTCCACATCCGGAGCTCTGTCAGAGCCTTCATACCATGTCACCCCAAACTGTAGGGCCATAGCCTCTATCCTACTGCCACTAAAAATTGGGTTCTATGCTCTTCACCACTCTCTCATTCTTAAGCCATCTTAGCCTCTAAGCACATTTGCACCAGTAAAGCCAGGATGCCTCCCCCTCTGTTTCCAAGACGAAGCTCAACAAGAGAACTAGACTCTTAGGGACCATGCAGTAGTAAACAGGGCCCTCTGAACACCATTACTTCATGAAGAGCCACTGTGTGTTAAGCATGCCACCCTCTCCTGTGCATTCTCTAGACCACTGCAGCAGCCCACCTTTAGGAGACAAGGATGTTCAGATTGGATGGACCAGTAGGACTGCAACAGCTCCAGGATATGCCAAGCCCCATTCCTCAAGGCAAAATGGCCGTGAAGGGCATCCATGTACAGACAGAAATAATGTATTTGGACTTGGCTTACTAGTCAACACCAACCTTTTCTGCAAGTTTTTCTTGTGTTTTAGAACCAGCTTTATACTTTGAATGGCTCTTATATAGAATCAGTCAAAAGGAAAGGGTGGGGTGGGAAGCTGTATATTCATAGGCATGTATACTGATAAACACACAACACCTAAATAATAAAATAAATTATTTGTATTATAACTTTGAAATGTTGTACAAGAAAAAATTGAAAATGATATGCTTTTTTACTCCCCTCTCAGAAAAAAAACACACTACAGAATGTTGGCATTAAGACGGTAATTACACTTGTATTTAACGGGTTCTACACACACACACACACACACACCCTTCACAGCCTTTGCTCATGACTTCACTAGACTTGCTCACCTGTCCCTTATGAAATGTTCTACTTTGCAAGTATTACCTCAGAATTGCATTTACTGGCACATGCAGCTGGAATGTAGTCCAAATCGAAATGTGTTATTAATGTAAAATATATTCTAAAGATTTAGCTCACAGTTTCTTGTGACTAAAAATTAAAATGTACTATGTAGCTCTTATGCTCCCCAGGGCTACTAAGAGCAACCAGGTGTTCTGGATGATTAGGAGCACCCAGGACAGACACCAAGCATGTCTTCATGAACAGCATGCTCTCCAGCAAGGGGCTGTAAGGCAGACTGGGAGAGACCCTTGAAGGCAAACTGGCTGCAGCTTTGGTCTACCATCATCTCACACGTTTCCGATCCGCTTTTAAAAAAATGGGATTGTAAGGTAAGCTAGAGCTATTTTATTTTTTCTAATGTACATAGTATTTCTTTTTCAACAGAAAAGGTAAAACTTCTTATATTGTTTATAATTTTAGAGCTGCCAAAAATTAGGACTGCCATTTACTAGACCTGGCCTAGGAATGGATACATCAAACTGTGCCATTAGCTGTCAATTTATATCAGGTCCAAAAACCCAAGCGAACTTGCTGCTGTTTCCCTGTACAGAAGTTACGGCTGTCATTTAAATTACTGAGCTCTCCATGGCTCAGCGGGCAGTTGATGAGACTGTCCCCGCGTGCAGCTCACTTTCCTCCACCCATTTCACGAGAAAGAGCCGCTCTCCTGTCCTACGGATAATGAAAAGCACACCTTTAATCTATGGAATGTGGCTGAGGACAAGCCCCGCTCTCCCTCCGCTGTGGCCTGGGAGCGAGCCCTTCGGCAATAAACCTTGCCAGTTGTGGTCTTCCCACATGATGGGACCTGCTCGTGGAGTCATCTCCAATGTGATTAGTTAACCGTTTCCAGTAAACCACACCGTGACTGACAAATGTTCTTTCCCTTGTCGGTTCGGGGCAGTTTATTCTGACTAGCATTGCTGCTCTGGCCGTCACACACGCCTGTCTAGCGGAGCCTCGTTTTTTCAAAAGCTGCCCCGACAGTGGCTCATTTTCATCCGTCTTCCCATGGGGTCACTCGGATCCCAGCTGCGACTAAAACTCGGCCGTGTTTACTTCATCCCCCAGAGGGACGACGGGCACAACCACGCCCTGCCGGTGCAGCTCCCGCAGAACGTCCAGCATGGAGTCGAGCTCCGTGCGGAACTTGTCCAGCTCCCGGTTCTTCAACTGGGCCAGCCTCTTCCACTTCTCGACCTCCCTGTTTTGCTCACTCTCCACTACTTGCCGTGTTTGCTGTATTATCTGAAAACACGAACATTTCACAGTATTATTCCAATTCATAGTGGAAACGAGGAACACGGACAGTTTTAAAGAACGGGACAGGTACACTGAAGGTACACCCAGGGCTTCTTGGGGGGAACTCAGATCAACCTTAGTAAAGGTTAATTTTTTTTGTTGTCTTCAAAGGTTTATGTAAATTTCTCACTATCTTTTATGGATTGAATGTCTCATCACCCCCCAAAACCACATGCTGTAGCTCTGATCCTTGGTGTGGCTGTATTGGATTGAGGAAATAAGGTTAAATCGGGTTGTACTGATGGGGCCCTGAGCTGATAGGATTAGTGTCCTCATAAGAAGAGACACACATCGAAGGGCTTTCTTGCCTCAAGTAGAGGTCACTCAAGAATGCAGCTTGCAAACCAGGAAGGCAGCCTCATTAGAAAACAAATCAGCCAGGCTTTACAACAGTCTAATCCAGGAGACTTCAGTCATGGCAGCTGGAGTCGGCCAACCGCTGTAGGGTAAAGCTGAGCATGGGCATCAAGGCCGAAAACATCACATTCTCTGTCGGTGAATGCAGTAAGCCTGCCCCAGTGCTAGGTACGTAATGAATCCATGACCATCTTCCAACCAAAATTCTATAGACATGTGAAGTGATTGAATATGAAAAATTGTTCCCAGGGTAATAAATGTAAAACTTATTAGGTACCCATCAGTGCTTTAAGTTTTCTCTCTCAAAATATAAGGCAAGTCAATATTAAAGTATCTGAGGCTTTAAGTCGTACTTTTTCTGCAAAGCTATACTTTTAAGGAATTAAAAAGACAACGAAGGGGGTGGGGTTGCTGGAGAGGTGACTCAGTGGTTAAGAACAGTGTCTGCTCTTCAAGGGGTCCTGAGTTCAATGCCCAGCACCCACATGGCAGCTCACGATCATCTAGAACTGTAGTCCCGTGGGGTCTGATGTCTTTTCTGGGGTGCAGACACACATGCAGACATACAACACAAATAAGCGATAATGGGAACGCTTGAAGCGTTTGGTAGAAGTGCAAAAGTCACAGCAAGGGAAGGGGCTTAGTAAAGCGCGCAGTAACGCACACACCCCTGCCTGTTCACCTGCAGGCTGCACACACCCCTGCTTTTTCACCTGCAGGCTGCACACACCCCTGCTTTTTCACCTGCTGGCTGCACACACCCCTGCTTTTCACCTGCAGGCTGCACACACCCCTGCTTTT